CAGAGCTGCCAGTCAGCTCTGTCCTCTTCTGGGTGCTGCTGGAGCGACTTGCCGTCTGTACACTGAACACAGGGAGTCGCTCGCTCCCGTACCTCCACCATTCAGCAAATGTCTCATTTTTTTTCTTTCTAGTAAATATAAAGCGTTCTTTGATTGGGCAAGATGGAGTGGAGGGCCGGATGGCATCATGATCACCACCTCTTCCAATCAGAGAAAGTCTTTGGTAGTCATTGGAAAAATAAAACGTTTGCAGAATTGTGGAGATTCTGGAATGAGTGACTCCCTGTGTTCAGTGTACGGATGGCCAGATGTTCCAGCAGTACCCGGCATGGGACAGAGCTGACTGTATGTATCGCAGACTACTACGGTACAGTAATTTCATCTTGCATTATACTTTACTTTATTAGGTATACCTTCAGCAAAGCCAGCATCTGGCAGTGGAACAGCAATAAATCGTTATCAGCCAGCCTCCCCTGGAAATAAAAACTCCACCATTGCAAATCCTCAGATGGGGTAGGTTGAAAGGATAAAGTGAGCATTCTATTCTGAAGCTTTTAGTGTGTGAGGTGATGCTGATGATGTTGATGTATTATGATAAGAATGTAATATGATAGCTTTATGTGCCTTTGCTACCCAAGTGATATTGATCTGTTATTAAATGTGCTATTAGCTCATTAGGATTACCTCATCATCACTCTCACCCCAGTATGTACATGTTGATTAATTGCTTTTATTTTACATGTACATGTAGGAGTAGAGAGCTTCTGTACAGTGAGTGTGCACTGGAATGTACACCATAATGTGCGACTACATGCACTGTACACTTGCTTGTATCAGGGTCGGTTTATTAAAGCACTTCTAGGTCTAGGGAAACGATCCTGGTGTCTAAGGGCATCAGCAGTCAGCACTAGACAACCCTAGCTGACTGAGCACAAGAAAAATAAAAATCCATGTTGAATATTGAATATTTTTGCTACTTGCTGTTGATTGTTGATTTCCCCTAAAATAAGTGGACTCTCGAGGTTTCTGGTTGAACTTCCATTACCATTAAAGTGTGTGTGTGTGTGTGTTGCGTTTACCCGTTTTGAAGGCTTTAATGGCCTGTTGGACTTTGACGGCAGAGATCTCCGCCTCCATGAGGTCCCTACCGGCTTGTGGGATCTCTGGAAGGGTAATTCGGGAGAGAAATTCACGGATAGTATCGAGGGAGGATGTGGAAGGGGCCGAGTATATTTTGGAGAGATGATGACGGAATTCACATAGGATTTTGGTTGGATCACTAGTGCGGGTGGCCATTCTGGTGCGGAGGGAGATCGGGGTGGGGACACTATCAAGTGTGTGTGTTTTCGGTCAGTCCAACTGCCCATTAATATCTATGATCCCAAAAAGTGGAACTCCATGAGAATATAAATAAACCCCTTTTAGTCTAGTTATATTATTACATTCATTTTAAAAACTATGCAATTGATTTTTGTTTGTGCAGCTAGTCAATCTACATTGTATTCTGCAACCAGCCAGGCTTTACTACATTGTACAGTGCAGCTAATCTAACATGTTGTTTTATGGAAAGGGAAGCTACACTAGTGAATAGTGTCACCATTCTGCCTGTACAGTGTGGTTGGGGTCATTGACCCATAACACTACCTGATTGTCCAATATCTGGACAGGCAGTACAGTTTCACATTGTATTTTGGATGATACAAAACTTTCAGTGCTGGGAGCTTTGTGTTTTGTAAAAATATGGGCAGAGCTGATGGTACACTGAAAGGTGCCCTACCCTAAGGCTCGGCCAACTAACTTTCTGTATAACCCTAAAATTAACTATTCTTCTAACACTAAGACTCCCTTATGTAAACGTAACCTATAATTTGCATACTTGCCTCTCCTCTACTGGGATCCTTTACACAAATAGAGTCCAGGATTGGATGGCCTGGTACAGAGACAGTTTTGGTATAATAAATATTTGTCTGGATTGCAGCTTTTAAGGTGGACACATGAACAGATCTCTCATAAACAGTGACTGGAATTTAACTTCAATTGAGTGAAGTAGATGTATAACACACATGCAATGACAGGGACACTTCTCTGTGGGGCCAAAGGAACAATCAAATGACAGGGCCACTTCTCTATGGGACTTGCAGAACAATCCAATGATGGGGCCACTTGTCTATGGGACCTAATTAACAATCAAATGACAGGGCCACTTCTCTATGGCACTTGGGGAACAATCCAACGACAAGGCCACTTAGCCCCTTATTCACACCGACAGTTTAGGTGCATTTAGGAATTCCTGTGGCAGGAGCCTGCCATTTTCTGCAGAAAGAATTCCTGTGGCAGGAACCTGTGATTTCCTGCAGCAGGAATCCCAAATCTGCTGTTTTCAAGCAGTAGCTGTCATCTGTTCAAATTAATGATCGGGTGACAGCGGCCGCATTTGAATGCGGCAGAATGCTGGCGCACCACATCGATTAATGCATCCAGGGATAGTGATTGATTCCTAACCGCATCATTAATTTGAACAGGTGACAACAACCACTCTTTGCATGGTGCTGTTAAATAGTTTATAGACACATTATAGTAGACAGTTGTGAGCTTTACTTTTGTTTATAAGTCAGTAGAGCTGCAGCTAACGATTATTTTCAAAATCGATTAGTTAGCCGATTAGTAAGTTCGGTTATTCGGATATGTGGATGCGGCCGGGCGGGTCTGACAGTGGCAAGCGTGTGGTGGGGAGGAGGTGTGGCGCGCAGCGTGTGTGGAGCCGTGGACAGGGCCAACCAATCGGAAGCCGATTAATCGATGATTGAAAAAGTTGACAACTTTTTCAATAATCGATTATAATCGATTATGTTGGTTAGTTGTTGCAGCCCTATAAGTCAGAGATGTATGTCAGTGTACAGCAATGCAGAGCCCTTTTAACAGTGCACACACTGTTTAACATTGCACTGCTACCGTAGCTTCTAACCAAGACCTTTATTACCAAATATAATTATACAAATCTGGTCAGATCACATAACTACACAGAAAGTCTTGCGGTAATACAAAACAAAGGGGAACACACAGTGAACCAATTATTCTGTTGTTTTGGCTAAGGTTATACAAAGTGTAATAAACATCAACAGCAATGTAAACAAGCAGATCCAACACATGAATTATTCACATTCCAAGCAATGATAGAACATCTCTGCTCCAAACAATTCAGTTCAAAAGTTTATAAATGAGGAAGAAAGAGGAAATCTATTCAAAGTGAGAGAAATCCCTGCTTAAGAAGTTGTTATTGCAACAGGTGTTCACATTGGAAGTTTGTTGCTCTGTTCTCGTTTCGGCGACAACTCAAAATGTTGGATCTTCCTTCACTTCAAAGTGTACTTGCACCATTGCAGTCAAATTTGAGAATCCCCCCACTATATGTTTGTGTTCCCATTCACACAGCCTACCTTAAAATAATATATTATATTAATAATATTGTCCAGCTGATATAACATTTGCTTTCCTATTTTGAAAAGGGAAACACAATAGTAAACCTTATAAGATAGGGCACGAAATGGAACATGTATGGCATGCAAAGGAGAAACCAAATCTAGGCTTTGATTTAGAGGGATCAATAGCTAAAACTGTACTTTGTTCCCATCTTTGGAGATTTAAATGTTGGTTTTAATCTGCAGTTATTGTGGGGCTACCCCATGCATTGCAAAGGTTAATTTTTATCTAGGGGTTTGGAGGAAGTGGACTTTTACTTACCTGATCCTCGCTCCCTTGGTGGTCAGCAGTTACCTCTCTCCATCCCACTCCGACTTGTCGACGCTCCCCCAGTGTTCTCACGTATGATGCAGAGCTATGGGCACTGTATTAGATGTGATGGTGTCAGTGGGCCTCCGACCAATGTAAAGGAGGATGGGGGAAGGCTATGGGTGTCAGTCCTGGAGTCAGTGGGGCTCAGGTAAGTAAGAGCCCTTAACAAAGCCCCCCCCTAGATCAGACTTTCTCAAACACGGTGCATTCTGGCTTCCTCAGAGTGCCTTGAAATGTTCTCACAGAATCATGCTTTTGATGTGAAGAGGGCTCCTAGTCTGAGAGGATTATTTAAATTGGGACTCTGCTGTGAAAGGAGGGATTCTAATGTGAAAGGGGGACCCTGATATGAAGGGGGAAGTCTGATGTGACGGGGAGAACCCCAGTTTTTTTTTTTACATGGTGTCCCACTTTATAATCCCTACCAGACCCCTGTCTCGGATAAGGATCTGGTAAAGAATTTGGAGTGAGTTGCCTTGAGAGTTTGCATACCGATAAAGGGTGCCATGACTGAAAAAAGGTTGAGAAATACTGCCCTAGACATAAACAAGCATTTAACCCTTGCAGTGTGAGGGTAGCCCCAATGCAAGGGGTGTTTTTGTTGTTTTGGGTATTTTGTTTTGTTTTTTTATATACATAGGATAGGCTTTAAATGTTTCCTTTGCCGGGCATAGCTTGCATGATATACAACAATGCTTGACTTCACTTACTGTCCTCTGGGTGTCACTGCTTTCCTACCAGATCTGTTTTTGTAAAATAGTCAAAAGATCTGTAGTGACTAACACACATTTATGTTTATCACTAGACTGCTGTCACGCCAACTGCTTGTTTTCTGTATTTTGTTAGGATTTGCTAGTCAAAAATATTTTGTTGGAGACGACATAAGCATTTCTTTTATAGGATGTATGTATGTGTAGTTCAACATAGTGTGACTCCACTACGGTTTTCCTTATTTCTTTGGTTTGTCCTCTAGCCAATATGAAACACCTTGGTTTTTGTCACAACGCTATCTTTTTTCTCATCTGTTTTCCTATAATTTTCTGTCTCCATTACAATGGTCATCAGGCAAGTAGGGAGTAGGAGTAGGTTTTTGTGCTTTAACATTGCATGCACCCTTAAATGTATTTCCACTTTTGCCGTCAAATTTGAAAAAAAAACCTCTGTGTGTTTGTTGTGCGTTCCTATTCACAACAGCATACTGAATAATAACTTTTAAAAAAAGATTCCATTTAGATGCTTTGTTGCAGCAGGCAACTTGGCCAATTCCAGGTTTTTCTCAGCAACTTCACAGTGGTCTGTTTTTTTATAGAAAGACTTAGGACTGTAATTTGAGGATTGTGTTTTTTCATTAACTTCAATATCATACAGTGGAGAAGCCCATCACAGCCCCTCCTAACATTACAAAAGAAGAAGCAAGTAGAAATGGTAACTCTTAACTCAAGAAACCCTAACCCAAGTAAAAGCAGTGTAAACTGCTGGAAGCATTTTCTTTCAGCTTATGCTATGTGAATGGGAACATAAAACAAATAGGTGTCTTCCCAATTTGATTGCAAACATGGAAATACACTTTAAAGTCAACCCCTAACTGTAACCCTTACTCTACAACCTAACACTGTTAAACCTAACCTTACACCTAGAGGTAACCCCATACATAACCCTGTGCTTATCCTAACCCTAAGTTAACTTTTTAATATCCATACTTGTCATTGCCAAAGATATTGAGCAATTGAGAACAATGATCAGCACCAAATGTATGCTGTCCTTAAGCCAAAAACAAGATGCTCCAAGATGCTGTCACCACATTTAACTGATTGGGTACATTCATATGTGATCATATTACTCCATTTCATTTGAAGCACAATCCATAATTCTGTCCTTGACCCTAGCAGAGACACTGTTATGACCTCACTTTTTTTCATGTTAGGCAACTATAAATTGTTCTGTTATTAGCTACCTAAAGGTGTACTTTGTTATTCTTGTACTTATGGAGCATATATTAGAGCTTGTAACACATGGGGCATTGAGAGGATTTGTAGATGGGCATTGAATTGTTATTTTACAAACTGACTGGACTTATTTAAAGGTTAAGTTCCCCTTTTATACCATGTTTCATGTTATCCCCCCCCCCCCCAAAATTGTTACTTAATGTCCGTACCTCGGTATGGAGGTACAGACATTCAGGAAAAGCAGAAATTGCCATGACTGTGCAGAAAGGACTGTAACCCTTAGGAACCTTATTTTGGTTTACAGTAGTCACATCAGTAAAATCTGGAATCCAATTAACTTGTATTGGTTCAAGTGATTTGCACATGGTTATGACATTTTAAAACAGTCTTTTTCAATGATATTCATTAAAACATGAATGATTGGTTCTAATGGGCTGCAGCACTGTGCTCTTTGCTCTAATAAACAAAGGACATAGCTTCAAAGGGAACAGTTATGCTTGTGCAATCGTCTTTAATAGTTTTGTTTTGTTATAGTACTACTTCCAGATGATGGCAGCCAATAAAACCAGTCCACCTTTTCTTTTTACTAGTAAAATTGGTACAGTAGGCCCACCTCTGCGGACAGGAAGAGATTTACAAAGCCTGAATGACAGTAACCCTAAAGCAGACAGTTGCAGCCCAAGATCTAATGACTTGCTCCCAATTAACAAGTAAGTATAGAAGGGGGTTGGTGTAGGTGTACATGTGAAGTGTGCATGCTCATTGACATTAGAGAAAACATACAGGCATGATCTGTCCATCTCTCAGGGAACAAGCTCCGTCATCACCAGGGGAAAAATGGCAAGTGGACAATGGTTTTTTAACCCATCTGATCATTATGTTCCTAACTGCTTTCAAGTTTTAATGTCTACCAAGATGCCAAATAGGGTAACGTCACTCTGTATTATTAATCAGCGGTCCAAATAGCTCTCTATCATTAATTTGTTGTCCATCTTACTTACCAGTACCAGTGGCTCATATTAAACTCTCATTAGGAGTGGCCCTAATTTTTCCTCTCTCTCCCCCCTTCTGCGCTGGCCGTTGTTTCCAGCACAGCCCCAATGCAAGACAAGACAATTTGCCTTGTCACGTATGGTGTGCATTCACACCACCGTGTTGCAGTAGAAGCGTAGTGGTGTGCGCTGTAAAAAGTATAACCGTCTCGCACCCTGCTGTGCACTTGAAACTGAATGGAATGTCACTTGTGACATTTCAATAAAGTTCTAACATCAAAAGTTCACAGTGAGAAGCATTGGGATCATTGGCTTTGGCACTCTGATGGACACCACACACAGATGGTGTGAATGGGCCCTTCAAGTGTAATTGTGACCAGGCTTTGGACATTCAGATCTTCTACATTTTCTTAAACGGTAAATACACATTAAAATCAGTTATTGGCCTGTGTAGCTATTCATCCTCAAAGTAAACAACAGAAGCACTGAAGTCATTCACCTTCCTCTTCTCCCCTCTCCCAGCAGTGACTTAGCAATCTTTCAGGCTCCAACGTTAACATGGAGCAGGTTCTCCTGGGAGGGGAAGCAGGATGAGCTGAGATGCCTGATAGAGCCAACTTTATCGGCTTTCTTTCTTCCTCATTGAACTCCGACGATGGAAGCCTGCAGCTGCAGCAGATAGTGAACCCTTTTTTTAAAGTTTATTCACAGCTTGTTACCCACCTGCTGACCAGCTAAAATATATATGTGTCGGCAAGAAGGTGGGCTTTAACTACCGGCTGGCATTTCTTTTCACTGTTCTGTGCTTTAAGCACGCTCCCAGCACAGTGACAAAGCTGTTACTGACAGCTCCTGGTCACTGTTTAGAATCGGGAGCTGGGGACGGGCTTCTGATCATATGATCACTGTCATTTGCTGTCACAGTGATCACTTGATCAGGAGCACCTGCCTCCTGTCGTTAGGGTACTCTGAAAGGCAGGGCCCTCCTTACCATCTTGTCTTGAATTGTATTGTGATTGTAATGTCTTCCTTATATTGTGAAGCGCTGCGCAAACTGTTGGCGCTATATAAATACTATGTAATAATAATAATAAAGGGCCAGAATCAAGGTGTTAAGGTAAATACTTGAATGCCCATAGATTGGCCACAGGTTCACATTACCAAAGGCCTTATTCCTCAAAATGCCCTCTGCTACAGACTTTTCACATTGTACCTATTGTGCTATTCCTCTACAGGAGTTTCCAGAGGGGGACACACTAATCCAGGCTCTGTGTTAAGGTGCCCATACACTGCTCGATTCTCGTACAAGAATCGCGGGAAAAATCGTACGAGAATCGAGCAGTGTGAACGAAGACATGCGACCGCTTCTACTGTACGGTCGCACGTCTTTTGTCGAACCAGCATGCTCGAAAACCCTGCTCGTTCGACAGCTGCGGAACGGGCCAGTGTGCACACGCGCACACTGCCCGTTCTGCATTGCGGTCATCAGAAGCCCGCCCCTCAGCGGGGGCAGGCTTTAGATGATCGCAAGTACGATCTGCCTGTCCAATATGGGCAGATCGTACGAGCTTTTAATAAGCTTACGACCATCGCAAGACAAAAGTCTTGCGATGGTCGTAAGGTGTATGGGCACCTTTAGAGCAGATGCAATAGATAATAAACGCAAGAGGTGCTTGTTAATAATTTGTCCAAAATGATTCCTTAGTGCTGGGACTACACACCAGATTTCAATCTGCTCTTAAAATGTTGAAATCTATTTTGCAAATGAAGATGCTGCTAACAAGGAGTTAAATTTGATACTAACATGCAATGAAAATCTCATGAGTAGCCCCAACCTAAGGAGTGATGGTGTAATCGATGCGTGATACCATCAGCTGCCTTGTCGTCAGCTGTATGCACACTCGCTTAATCATTCCACTATGGTGATATTATATGACACGCTAGTTTCGATTTCATTTACAGCTTGGCTTTAGAAATCAGCATTATGATGCCATATTTTGGTCACACTTCTATATAATGCTTCTGGGAAATCAAGTTTAAAAATTGTGCTTGTCATCTAGGATGAAATGTGCACTGAATGACATGCAGATATAAAAGACACAAATTAAGGCAGCTCCTTTTAAATATAAATACATCCATAAATGTATATTTTGAATGCAGTCTGTATAATTACCTGAATTTGACTCTGTGTCCGCCTCTGCCAGTCTACGGTATAGCAGAGCTCAGAGATGGGGAGGGAGAAGCAGCACAAGATTCCAGCCATGTGTGCTGCAGTGCAAGATTCATGCTAATAGTTGGGGAGAGCAGAGTGATGAAAAGATAAGTCCATCAGTCTGCTACTTCTTCTTTCACTGTCCAGTCACTGGGGTGGGAAAAAGACCTGGAAATAATACTGGACTGCTGTAGAGAAAGATCAGTTCTCCTGCTATGTCAAACAGAGCTACTTTGTGAGGTAAAGTTGTATTAATTAAAAGGACAGAAATACAAATCATTTGGTTTCTTTATGTATTTCATCTGTGTATTTAAGTGTGCTTGTCTGTAGCTCTGATAGCTGCAATAGCTGACAAAGAAAAGTACTGTCCATAACACAAGCCAGCATAATTATTCACCCCCCTTCCTTGACTGTTGCACAGTTTGCAGTGTTACCACTTGGAAGTAAATATACATTTATCTGTAGTGTTATGTCTACATGCTACACAGATTAGTCCACAATGTCTAAGCTTTAAAAAAATATATACATCCTTTCTCCAAATTGTATACAAATTAAAAAATCTTAAACATAGTGAGTGAAATGTATCAAAATCTGGAGCAGCTGTGCATGGCAACCTATCAGCATCTCTCTTTCATTTTCAAACCTTAACTGAACAAACTGAAGAGAGAAGCTGATTGGTTGCCATGGGTAACTGCTTCCGATTCTTCTGCTCAGGTTTTGATAAATTCCACCCATTGATTCTATAAATATTTACCCCCTTTCTTGGGAAACTCCTAATAAAGCTCTGGTGCAGCTTACCTCCTTCAGAATTCACATTAGCAGCCCAACTTTGTGCAGTTTAAGCATACCTTTGCTCCAAAATTAACCTTTACATCATGCTA